AATTGTTTTATCTTGAAAAAAAAAGAGTTGGGGGGGGGGATGGAGGTGTTTAAGATTGTAAAGGGAATTGATAGTATTGATGCACCATCTTTTTCATATTTAATAGTGAGAATAGCAGGACTAGGGGATGCAAATATAAATTTTGGCAGGGTAGGAGAGCTGAGACAGTTTTGTTTTTCTAACAGGGTGGTTGGTTTTTGGAATGGGTTGCCTTTGGATGTTGTAGAGGCAGTAAATTTAAGTGAGTTCAAGAGAAAGCTTGATAAGTATATGAATAATAAGGGCTGGCTATAAGATTTTTAAAAGATTATCTTAATTTAGTTTAGAGGATGGAACAGCCGAGATGGACTAATAGGTCCCATGTTGTCCCAAAACATTGTTATGAAGAACTGTGTATTCACACAGAAATCTGTACATAACTGTAAATTTTAACGGTACGCACTTACTAATTTCGCTTTTCCTTTCCATTTTCTTCAGCACCTGATGGGTACATACTGACTTCTTTATTTCTGTGTTGATGTGACGTTATTTATACGTATACATGTCATAATTTTTTTATGGGATTGGCTGTATATGAATCAGGAGATTAAAAACACACAAGTTAAATTTCACGAGCATTCTGGTGACATAACCTGTGCATGTGCTATAATGTCAGGGCCATGTGATACTTACTATCAGTCCTATTTGAGTCTATAAGTTATGTTGACGACTAGTCGGTCGGCCAAATTATTATTGTAATTGTGGCCAATATAATTTTACATTTTTTATTAAACTAAACATCTATGTATATATACATCATTTCAATTAATTGTATCCTGGACAATTCCACAGTGATTCCCTTTACATTTAGAACAAGATTAATGAATTAATTTTAATCCAATTTTATTTATATAAACACTTCATTTTCTGCAGATAATGACAAACGAACCTAAGGTCTATCTATACGTCATATAGTTAGGTGATTTTTGGACCTTATATAATGTAACCTTTATTTGGATAAATAGGAACTTGACTCGTTATGTTAAAAAATACAAAGCAAAATTTATCCCAAACCCGTATATGAATAAGAGAAAATAGATACTATTTTTGGCTAACTCATTACTAAACTATTTTAAGAGAAAATGAAATGACATGAGCCGGAAAAGTTACAGAAAATTGTGTGACTCGTGTTTCATTATTAATAAGAACTTACGAGTGAAAGTATCAAAGATCACATAACGACATGTCAGCCACATTATATCCAGTTCTGACAAGGGCCCTTCTCCCCAGTATGGGAGCTCATCAGGCTAACTAGGATACAAGACTTACTAATGGTTGGGATGCTATCGAATTCATTGATAACATCTGTTATGGAACAAAATGGATTAAGTTGGTGAGCTCTAATTTTTCATCAACTGTATTCATGTTTTAAGTATTACAAACTGCCCTCTGCCTCCTTGAAATGATGCCTGAGAACTGATTAGGATTGTTCAGTTTTGGCCTATGGTTTCTATAATCAAAGGACAAAATTAAATAGTTATTGTTGTCTAATTGAATTTGAAAATGAAACTTAACAATAAACAGTCAAAAAAGGCAGAATATTGAGTGTATCATAAATGTATCATGATTATAAATGTATGTCCGAAATAAAAAAGTCCTGTGGAAGTGTTATTTCCATTAATGAATCCATGTACACAGTCACTCATGTTAAAAATTTGAACAGTGAAAGTGACCATGAGTATTAACAATATTTGGTCCAACTTCTTAATAGTATTTTCTCATGGATGGAAGATCTCATTGGTATGTGCAGTATCCACCAGTTGGTATCACCGCTAACATTTGGAAGTCATCGGCCTTGACTGCCTTTACTTCATTAGGGGTATAGTATGCCTTCATACCCCACAGCATACCGAGCCCTAACCTTAACTACACACGGTTCCTTATCCATGGAAATATTCACATTTAATTCAGAATCCCAGTCTGTTGTATTCTCAGCATCGTTAACATTGGCAGTAACACCTATTTTCAAACAATTGGGCCAGATATAAAGCCCTGTTTTTCACTTCGTTTTCAGAACTGCTCACCTCAACAACTCTAACATGACAAGAATCTTCAACTGTAACATCAAAAGTTTTGGCATCATTCTCTATATGGTTTCTGCTCTTACTACACCCCACCTGGTGCTTAATTTAACCACCTATGCTGTCCACTGGCTCCTTTTCATGTAAGATTACAATGAAATTTTGTTAGAAGAGAACGTGAAAATTATTTATCTTTTATTTATGATGAAGCCAGATAAACATTGTAATAACTTGGCTCAGTCTCGTGATAATATAAACAGGAAAAAAGAAAGATTGACGGGTAGAAAAAAATCATTTATTGCTGCTCTCCCTATATTTATGCAGTAATTAGTTAGCTAAACTCGAGAAATGGTCAGACACAACAGTTATACACTTCGAGGAAGTGGCTACTGACATTACGTTGCCTCTGACTTTATGACTCGTGTTACCTATAATCAGTGTTATATCCTACTTTTCTAACAGAGCTGGCTTAGACGATATTGGTATTTACATATAAGGTATTGGTGATGACTAACAAACTTCAATTTTTTTGTAGATTTTGTGATAGATTACAAATTTTATGTTTTCATGACTTTATATCCCAGCAAACTTTAACAGACTTTGCTGATCATTAGAAGTAAAATACAAGATGATATTTTTTACTGTTAAACACTCGGTTATTTCATTTTGTGCTAGATTACAAATTTTATGTTTTCATGACTTTATATCCCAGCAAACTTTAACAGACTTTGCTGATCATTAGAAGTAAAATACAAGATGATATTTTTTACTGTTAAACACTCGGTTATTTCATTTTGTGATAGATTACAAATTTTATGTTTTCATGACTTTATATCCCAGCAAACTTTAACAGACTTTGCTGATCATTAGAAGTAAAATACAAGGTGATATTTTTTACTGTTAAACACTCAATTATTTGTTCAGTCCTTTTTTTTTTCTACCAATTTTTAAGAACTGAATGAGAATGGTTAATCTCCTGGTTAACTGAAACTTTGGTGACTAATATCTAATTGATTGATAACAAGTAATAAAAGCAACAGTCATGAACCTTTTTATGTGTTTTTACACCCAGTTCAGAAAATGTTTGTCTTCAGAACCCTTGCCCCAGTTTACATGTAATTTCTCTCTTCACTTGGCGAAAATACAGTAACAGGAATTAGGGAAAAATGGTGACACTTCATGAAATAAGAACATCTTAAAATGTGTACTGTAAATTACTTTAAAATGTGTACTGTAAATTACTTTAAAATATGTACTGTAAATTACTTTCGACTGTTAACCCATTGACTGTTGAGTTGCTGTACAGGGTACAGTCTTTCTCTTGCAGTTGAATTTAAGCATGCTGTTTATGGTGTACAGCTCGCAAGAATTTCATGCACGTGTAAAGCAGCTGCAGTCAAAGGGTTATAGAGTAAATATGAACTTTACTGCTGCACTCTGAATATTATTGTTTTTTTTTATTTAACCGTTTTAAATGGTAAAATACTTCAACAGGTGAATATCTAAGAAGGTACGAAACATTATCTTGCTGTTGTAAGTTATTTTGCTACAGTTATATAAGATCCAATTGTAGGTTTCTAATAATATTTTGATTATTTGACTTTAGCCTCTAAATGATCTTAAAAATTTCCAAAGATGCCGCTTTCATCAATGATTCAGAAAAGCATCCTTGACTTGTTAAGCAATAAGCTGTATTTTCTAGGCCTTTATAGACTGAAAATGTTTTTAATTGAAATATATTTGCTTTTCAATACTCTGATTTTTGCCTTCCATAACAATGGAAATTGAAGAACAATTATTCTACTTTGTTGAACAAGTGGAGTTTACCGTAGTAGATTAATGGCTGTTGTTTTATCTCCAAGTGTATGTTTTAAGCTACAGCAACAATGGTTTTAATCTTTAAAACATATATCTTGTGACAGTTGATAATACGATCGTTTATTACTATAGTACACCTCTTTAAAACTGCAGTAATTTGTTTTCCAGTTTCTTTAATTCAATACATTTGGTTTATGGAAGTTTATATTGTATGCTAGTGTTTTTATAATTTCTCTTTTCTTTCATTCAGGACTGTTCGGATTATGTATTGGTGTTGCAGTTTTTACTGTCTTGTATGAATCAATCAAACAATTTCACCACTATCTAGCAGAGAAATGTCAAGAAAACTTACTTCTCGGTGCTAACGTGAGCCGATGCAATAGCCAAGAATCCGAGACAAACAGATCTGATGATATTCCACTTGTGCAACAACAGTTATTTGACATTCTAACTTCCGAACGGTAAGAATGTGTAACATGTGCATGTACTCAATGTCATAACAGTGACTGTGTGTGTATTATCAGTTTGTCAGCCATCATTCCCTCTCACGTACAGGTATATGTATTTAATCTAGTTCAGTATGTGTTAGATGTGTAACGATAGGACGTGGGGCACGATATAATAGAGAAAACAGCTTTTTATTAGGTTTTTATGGGTGGATTAGGAGCTAGCAAACAATGTTAATATTGCAACAAAAACTTGGGGAATGTCATTTTACCACAGAGTCCAGTGTTGCTGGGATAAATGTCCTCCAGGTGTAAATAGTATTGACATACCCTTGTATTTTGGGATGTACAATGCAGCGGTCACAATACAATATCCATTTCCCGGGGCAAAATATCATGATGTATTGATAAATCATTACAGCACTAGTAGGTATAAGGTAAAATGACGTGTAAGACCATGTAGACTGATTGCTGGACAAAGCAGGGTCAGCTGGTTCAAGTGAGGTATTTCATTATGAAGATCAAAACTTTAAGTTCAATGACTAACATTTTTTCGCTGTGTAGATCGAAAGATAATTTTAAACACAATTAATATTTTCTCTTTATGTTCGGGTCCCGTGTTCCTGTGTAGACTGGTTTTTCTGTAGGTTGTGATACAAACAATAAATGTTTTTATCTTTAAGTTGAAAACCATCAACACATAATTATTGTTCTTGTAAGTTGAAAACCATCAACACATAATTATTGTTCTTGTAAGTTGAAAACCATCAACACATAATTATTGTTCTTGTAAGTTAATAATTATCTGTTGATGGTGCCTAAACTTACAAGAAACAATAATTATCTGTTGATGGTGCCTAAACTTACAAGAAACAATAATTGTTCTTGTAAGTTTAGGCACCATCAACAGATAATTATTGTTTTTTGTAAGTGTAGGCACCATGAACAGATATCACAGGCCTGCAAATTTAAATTCATAAAAGTTGTCTTGATTTTTCCATAATTCAGCTACGCAGATTTCAAAAACAATATTCATTTGTTTCTATCACATAAGGATTTTTTATAAATCAGGAATAAAAAAAAACTCTTACTTAGATCAAATTATTATTTCGTTTACCACAATGAACATTTTTTATTATCATGATTGATCTAGATAAATATATAACCAGTGGTTGTCAGCATTTTAAATATAACAAAATGTGACTCGATTTCAATGAAAATGATTCACTTATGTAAAAGTACATATGACGTTTTGTGAAAAATCTATACGTGATGGAGAAAAATGGATGTCATTTTTGGATTCAGCGTACAGGAATTACTGTGGAACATGTAAAAATTTCAAGACAGTAAAACCATTGCAGGCCTGTGTATTTATTGTTTTTGTAAGTTAAGGTACCATTTACTCTTACTTGTCTTTTTTTTTCTTGAGGTTAAAGCATAATATATATATTTTGTTTTTCTTCCTTGAGGTTAAGGTAGCATATATATGAAAAAGTGGTTTATCTTGAGGTTAGGATAGAATCTATATGATTAATTTTTGATACGGTTCTTCCTTCTTCTCACAAGATTAGGTATTCTCGTCCAGTGCTGCCCACTACATGAAATTTTCTTCTTTATGCATGCCATAAGCCTTCTGCTCCACCTATTGGAATCGATTGATTCCAACTTCGTTGAGTTTTAGCCTTTCACCTGTAGCCATTCTTCAGACTTCAGTGCGACTTTGACTGAGTGAGTTTATATTCATATTTTTCTTTTCCCTTCAGGGGCCCTTGCTTCATTTACTCATTATATGGATCCCACTCTGTGGCAAGTGGTGCCTGATCAGGTATTCTTCAACTTGAAATCCACACAGTACAGCCATGTTGACTTGCACTTTATCTTCCATGGCTTCACAACACTCACTGTTGAGATGGGATGTTCCATAAGATCGCTTGTAGGTGATTAACCTCACAATGTAATTTCTCCATAAACTTGCCCGTTCTGGACCCTACCACCCATGGACTGCATGGATAAGGCAGAAGGAGATAGCTGTCTATCCCTGCCATGCCTTGTATTAAATATATTGGGATGGTATGCTTTTCAAAATAGGGTTTCGTGGTCACCTATTGCACTGTCTCAGGTGATGACATTCCTCCGGACTCTCCACCGCATTCTCACTCCCCCTCCCTTTGTTCTAGTGGAGTATGGGAGGCCTTACCACTTTCCAGTTCCAAGCCACTGGGGTGATTGACCATGAAGGCACCCTCCTGAATGGGTTCCACACAAAGATGGCTATAACCATTCAGTGCAGAGTAGGGCAGTGGTGTTCTGCAGGTGTAGATGTGATGTGCTATTTTTCAATATGTAATATACACTCACAAAGGAGTGAGACATCAAATTGCAGCCCACCCCTTCAATTGGGAGCCCTCATCCTACCCCCCACATGGATCTCAGTACCCCACAGCTGGGTTTTGGATTTAGAGTAGAACCAATCAACATAAGTCCTCACACATGTTTATGGTTGTCTATATTCCTTCCTAAATCATACTGTGTTGTGGGTCATAGTGGAGGTAAGGAGGATTTTTCTGGTTCTGTCCTTTTTGCTATCCCTTGTTGTATCTTATTCTGAGGATGTTATAGCATTTCAGATGGTACCAGTCAGTTTTGGGGTTGCGGAAGTTGATTTATATTATATAGATTCCTTCCAATACTGGATGTTGGGTTCCCGGATCTGCAGATCAAAGCTAACACGTGTCATGCTCAGGAGTCGGAGTGGTTCGAGATCCCCCCCCTCCCAGTCTCTTGAATTTGAGGTGAAGATGGTACAATCCTCATTCTACCCTCGCATTGATGTCAGTTCCCAGCAGCATGGGTTTTGAATGTAGTTGACTTAACGAGTACAGTCCGTTGCACCCTAGCCACTCTACACCTATGGGTACATCCATTGTTTTACCCATTTTTATACTTTGTGGCATTGAGTTATGTATATACATACATGGTTAGGATCACTATTTAGCCACAGTTCTCTCCCACTTGGATGTGCTCCTCTCTTTTTCTGCTCTTATCTACTAAACATTACCTGAATGGCCGAAGAGTATACCTGGTTCAGAAGTGGTGCAGTTCTCCTTATCAGCTCTTCAGGTCTGGCTATTTCATTTTCAGGGGTATCCTTCGGACGCTTTCGGGGGGTACTTCTGTCATTCCCTTGCACCAGTCCCACCACCTAATCAATGCAGTGTTCTAGCTAATCTTATGAGAAGAGGGAAATACATTGTCAGAAGTTATAATTTTTCTCTACTGAAAATGTATTTCTGATAGGTACTTCCCTCCTTTCACACTTCCTACCTTTCCTCCCCACATTCCTCCAGTGCTTATGTCTTCTGCCAAACTTCTAAGTAATAGTTCGGTAGAGGCGTATAGAGGGAGTCACATGCATCACACTCCTATTGGTGGAGAAGTAACACATAATGATTTACATGAGAGACATGATGGAGTCAGTCGATTCCAATAGGGGGGGCAGAATGCTTTTGGCATGCATAAAGAAATAAATTTGCATATAGAGGGCAGCACTGGGCGAGAATACTTAATCTTGTGACCGGAGGGAAGTACCTATCAGAAATACCATTTCAATATAGGAAAATTACAACTTTTTTAGCCTTTCAGTTAAGATTATATTATATTTTATTGTTTTGTCTTTAGGTTGAGCGTACTATATACATACTTTTATACCTTTTTATTGCTTGCCTGAAGTCAAATATTTGTATTACATTTGTAGACTAAAGTACCATCAACAAAAATTTATTTACTGTTAAGATACAACATAAAAATGTTAATTGTTTGATTTTATATTTTAGGTTTAGACACTATATGCACATGATTGTTGTTTCACAAAGACTCTCTACATTTTGCTATAATTTTCTCTCTCAAGGTTGAAGTGCCATCTATTTCAGACTGTTCTACACACCGTACAGGTTGTGATGGGATACATGATAATGCTCGTGATCATGAGCTTTAACGTCTGGCTTGGCATGTCTGTTGTCTTTGCATCTTGTATCAGCTACCATGTATGTAGCACGTACATCTTCAACCGACCCGTTTTGCTACCAGTTGAAGCGGTGAATTATACCAGTTAAGAAGTAAAACCATGGAATAACTTCTGTTAGATGCTGTGTTTGTAACTGGTAATGCAGGTAAAATTGTTGAAACTTGTGGTAGACAGTTATATGGTGTTCCCATTTGAGAAGACCATGGAAGGATTTTAAGAACATAGATTAATTTACTCTATGTAGTTTGGAGTGTTATGTTGTTTGTAAAGATGTTCTTTGATGCCATTCTTTGCATAATTTTAAAGAAACAATTTTACAACTTTGGAGTGGAGACTGTATTATACAGGGTGGGACAAAGGTGGCTATACAGTTGTTTTACTGAGAACCTAATTTGATTTCTAAAATTTTTCTCCTGAAACAAACACTAATTAAATCATTTTCGTTTGTCTTCATAATATTTTCTTCCGAGCAGTTGCATAGTAACTTTTGCCCCACTCTGTATATCTATAATGTATTTATACGTTTGATTTCAACTTATCATGCTTTCAAAGCTTGTATTGTTATTTAATTTTGTTTAATTTTTTGTGTGTTTCATTTCTAGAGAAGGCAAAAAAAAAAACGAAATGTGTGGAGCGAAGGGTATTTTAAAAAAATAAAGTTTGGAGATGGTTTGAATGGGTAGTGAAAGACACTTTACAAGTACTTGATGATGATATAAACCTAAATAATAAAACTTTGAGGACATCTGTTGAGTGGATTATTTTATTTTTATAAAATTTATTACAACGTTTCGACCACTCATGTGGACATCATCAGGTAAATTTATGATATAGTGTTATGTATTAGTAATTTACTCGATCATTTCTGTTCCAATTTATAATAGATATAAAGAGACACCTATATTTTTTTTAAGTTAGGTTTTAAATCGTGGATAATTAACGCTTCTTTAATTTTTCTTCTATTGATATTGTTTTCTTTACATAATATTCTAAAGTTGTTGTTATTGATTGGATGTTGATCTGTTATGCTGTGTTCATAAATGTGTGATGGAGGATTGTTATGTTTAATCCTAATATTTATGTTACATCCCGTTTCACCTACATAAGAGCTGTTGCATCTGTTGCATTGATATATGTAGATGCATCCGTCATTGAAGTTATCTGAATAGGCCTTCTTTAGATGGTCTTTGATTTTTGTGCCCGGTTTTTGAACAAACACGACTTTATTATTAATGTTGTATTTTTTTTTATACTTGTTTCCAAATATTTATGACAGTTTTAGTTACATAACCATGATATGGTAAGATGCCTATTAATGTGTCAGTGTTAGTGTAATTTTCACCATTCTTAGAGTTTTATAGTGTTTTTTGTTTCTTTTTTGGTGTTGTTGAATTTGTTTTTACATTTAGCTAAGGTTCTAGTGATGATTTGTTTAGGGAAATTACTTTTGTTTATAAATGTCTCGTATATTGTTTCTAGTTCGTGTTGTAGATTTATGTCACTGCATATATTAAATGCTATGTTATAAATACATGATAATGTGCCGATTTTTTGTTGTGTGGAGTGGGCCGAGTCCCACTTCATAGAGTTGCTGTCATTACACGGCTTGTAATATATTTTGGTGTTGAAACTATTAGTGTTTCTTTCTTTTGCTATGTTCATGTAACTTTAAACTTGGTTTTTATTTGTTTATGTGTTGTAGAAATAATTGTTGATGGTCGTTATTTTTGAAGCTACAAAATAACATCGTTGACGTATCTAAACCAGTATGTGGGAGGGTTTAGAGCTGTATTGATGGCTAGACTTTCTATTTTGATAATGAACAATTCGCACAATCCAGGCGATAAGGGGCTTACCATGCTTAGTCCATCAATTTGTTCACATATTTTACCTTGACAGGTAAAACACATTTTACCTTTAAAGTGAAAGAAAAGTTTTAATAATTTCTAAATTCAGGTTGTAATTCAATATTTCAGGATTTTTTTATAACAATTCTAGAGCTACGTTTGTTGCTTCCTCTATTGGTATCGTAGTATACATGGAGACTTTGTCGAAACTGTACATTTTGTGGTGATTGTTTAGGTTTTTAAGATTTTTTTTTTAATTCTAGAACATTTTTGATTTTGTAATTGTTGTTGTTGTTGTGTAATGGCTTGATGAGAAAATCTAAAAATCGTGCAAGCTCATGATTACAACTGGCATAAGTTGAAAGTATAGGGTGGATGTCAATTGGGGTTTTATGAATTATTGGAGCACCAAACAAACAAGGGGGACTTGCATTGGTTACCCTTTAAGATGTTGTACATGTCTTCGGTTATATCATTGTTCTTTTTTAACTTTAAAAATAGGCTATTCAGTTATTTTCCATAACATTCATTAAGGTTTGTAGTTAGTTCTTTAAATTTGGTTGAATCATGTAGATGTTGTTCCATTAAGTTGTTGTAATTTTCTGTTTCCATAATTACAGTTTTTCCACCTTTATCGGCCTTTACAATAATAATTTGTGGGTTATTTCTTAATTCTTTATCGGCTGACATTTGGCGTTTCGTGATGTTTTGTTTGATTTTATGGTTTTTCAGTAAATACCCTTGAATTATACATGACATTTCTTGAGTGAAATCATATAGGTTTTGGTTGTCTTTGGGTATTTTATGGAACCACATTCTGTTATTTTTTTGCCTTGAAATATCTTCGTGCTCTCATCATCCATTTTCATTTCTTGATGATCGATATCTGTTTCATTAACTTCAGTGGATATGTGACTTTTAGTTGTTGTTTTAGTTCTTTGTTTATCTCTGATTGATTGTTGCACTAATGATATGAACCTGTTGAAATGTTGTACATCTTTAATAAAGTGACTTTCACTACCCGTTCAAGCTGTCTCCAAACTATACTTTCTAAAAGGTAGGTTCCTCATCATCAAAGGATATTTAATATCTACAAAACTAAAGACTCTAAAGTTGGCTCGTAAAAATATTTCAGTTCTCACAATTTTGCTCATTCTTCATGAAATATTACGCAACATGTGTGGGTAGTGCAAAAGATCTAAGTCATATCAGATTGTTAAAAATTTAAGAAAAATTTCATTTTATTTAAAACTCTTACTGACTAAAAGTGTTTGTTTGTATCGTAATACTGCGATACCATCAAATGAAACAGAGGACAATCCAGGCAGTTGTTATGTATCTGCAGAGAAACATACTGTTTTTGTGTTTTCTTCTTCTTCCAAGCCCCCCAGAGGTATGTCTGCGGACATACAACGCTAGAATCCGGGTTTCGATACCCGTGGTGGGCAGAGC